TCTTTCTGCAACCCACTTATACTGAGAAATTTCTTATTACGGAAAGTTATATACGACTGCATATACCTGATCTTTTAAGGTTATCTTCAATAGTAATGCATTTTTCTACAATCTGTTCATTGGGCAAAACGATGATCATTGTTATGGCATGTTTTCAATTTTTCAAAAAAATAATCTATTCAAGTTCTTTAACAAATTGAAGAACTGGGTGCAATAACTAGAATTAATAACCAAAAGTAAAGTTTTTGCAAAAAAAAGAGAAAAAACATTTCTATTAGTTCAAACCTTAAATGGCATCAGATCCTCTTCTACCTCTGCATCGCCTCGAAACACGAGGGAAGAACGGGCCCCAGGGAACAACACCAGTGGAACCATATCCTTCACCTTCGCTTAAGTTGAAATGGGTAAAATAATTTACATAAACTACCTTGTTGCCATACCCAGTCTTGGTCTCTACACACACATTCACCTACAATTTCTCTCAAGCACGAATAATTGGCTTGATCAAAAATCATAATCTTCTCACTCCTTTTATTGCAACAGACGCTACATCACTTCAACATATTTCCACTATCGGCCTATGCATGTCAAGCACGCGACGCACCCAAACACGGTCTATTGACACATTCTCTGCAAACATCTCCATCTTTATACAGTCACAACTCGAACCCACTGCTTTGTCCGTGTGTACCGCCGACCTATCTACTCAGTTGTGTTTCAGTCTTCCCTTTCTTCTAGCCTATTTCTTGTTTGTCTATGTAGGCCAGTCATCGTGTTTGTTAAACCACGGCAATTCTCTCTCATGACACTCGTCGCAAAAGACACAGCATTCGCCTCGAGCCTCTTCTCTCACACACACATCCTCAAATGGAGAGCTAGTGCTCTATGCTTTGGGTACATTCGAACTACAGGGAACGCCTGATACTCCGTACTGTAAACATACCAAAACTGCGTGCTCGATTTAATAGGCATATACTGGTTCACACTCTAATAACCCGCACACCCCTTCCAGTGAGCTAATACTAGCACTTCACCTCTTCTTTTGAGAATTATTCTTCTAACAAATATACTATTAACTTTTACCTTTTGGTTTGTGATTTTGAGCAAAGCGCCGAATAACAGGGTATAAATAATTCTACCCTTTTAGGCAAAGTGGTGATGTATTTGGAGAAGTTTTCCTGGTGCAGTAAGAAAGATTAAAAAATTTGGCCATCAAGATATAAAGATATTACTGACAGTTTCCTTTTCCGTGTATTTATTTCCTATTACTCTTCATTTTTTGTGTTCCTCTTAGATTTTGATGATAACTTTTCAATGAAATTGTATAACATGAAAATTAGTTCGAAGAGTTGGTCTATATTAATTATATAAATACGCCGGAGCAGGGGAAGGCGAAGCCGACCGGGTGGCCGAGCAGCGAGCGGAACTCGACGAAGGCGGGAGCGAAGGGCGGGGGCGCGGCGGCGCGCGCGGGGCGCGCCCACTCGAAGATGGGCTGCGGCATCCCTTGCAGGCCCAGCTGCACGCCCCCGGACGCCAGGCGCAGCCACAGCGCCGCCCACCGCCCCGCCGCCACCAGCGCCGGCAGCGCCTTCGCCTTCAGCACCACCTCGCCCGCCCCCGCGCCGCCGCCCGCGCCTGCGGTCACGGTGGGACGAGAGAATAGTCATTGACGTTGCTAGTGCAGAAAGCGAGTATTTAGCATACGGACGAAATTTTAAAGGAGGAGAACAAACCAAACACACTTTCTTACAAGTAGTGCGTTTTTATGGAAACTTACAAGAGTATATTATAGGGATCATCCTCAATATGCAAAGAGATAGCCATTATAAGTCACGTCACCCCAGTGCATTTATTTACTTTGCAGTATCCAGTAGTGTTATAAGAGCACAAGTCCCAGTTGTGTTATAACGGCACTCAAACGGAAAAACAGGTCATGCCTAAGCGTAAAGCAAAGTATGTTTTCCAGAGCACTAACAAGGTGGAGGTAGGTACGAGTTTCCATGATTCAATTCTGAAAAAAATGTATCTGTGAAGCAAGCTTCAGAAATTGAATTGAGGAGAACTGAGAGTGTAGATTTACTGGACAGGGAAGTAGTTTCCTTGAGAATGTCCACATGCGCACTTCAAAATGTCGCTTCGTCCAATTTCATATTGTTTTCCCTATATAATTTTATGTAGTGACATGAACACTGCAACTTACGCCAGGACTCTGAGGACTACATCACTTGTACGGTGGGTTGCATACCTCCCAGGCGATAACTCTAAACTATGAAGTCTGCATCAAAAAATTTCCAAACTACGCCCTACATTTCCTGCTTTTCTCTTTGAAAAGTAATTTCAAAATACTCATAGTGAATTGTCGATGTTTCATAGTTAATGAGCGTATTTAGTTTCCTTGCAAAACATTATCAAAGTACCCTGACGCATCAATAGCGGTATTTCAAAATACCTGCTCTAGAAACCCTTAGAGACACATTTCTAGGAGCACGGAGCGGTTGAGGTGGAGCGGAGATACCTGGTTGAGGAAGTACCCGGAGGCCGACGGGTAGGTGAGCTCCAAAAATTGCCATCCCACAATACCACAAACGCTTCACTTAAGAGACGAATGACCTTAGCAGTTGACGTGCCGGGATTAGATTAATTGATTGCCTGTTAAGAGATTCCGAGTGCGTCAACTACTAGGGTCATTAGTACTGTCCGTGTAGTGCATGTTTTAGCTCGGTACTCGCCTTCCACCGCTGTATTGCCAGATTCGGCGCCGACCTACCGTCGGCTAGCGGGGGTTTCACCCATCAGGCATCTTCATCCCACCTCAAGCGCTCCGGGCTCCTAGCAGCATTCGCCCATGAGCGAGATACCGCCCCAGCTGAGACAAGCTTTAAGCTTTCGGCATGTGTGGCAGTGTATTGCATGTTAATGGGTGTGTAAGGGGGAAGGATAGTAGAAGGAAGAATTAGGAAAGATCAAGCGCAGTCCGTGGCCAGTTTGTTAGGGTATAGCTCCGGCATTCGCATGGTGTTCAGAGAAACCATGGAAAACCAGCGCCAGCGGCCGCTAGAATTCTCCTCCAGACAGCGACTGAATTCGACCTAGCTGACAAGCAAGTGTCTTGCCACCGCCGAGACTCGACCCTAGGGAACCCTCCCGATCAAAGGAACCGCAGAGACATCAGTTCATGCCCTGAACCATCTCTTCTGATACGTGCCCTGAAAAAAACTACTTGGCCACTAATTCTTGGTGTGTGGAGGTCACTAGTTCTGGATGAGCGTAGGCTTATAGTTCTTAGTGTGTGGGTGTGCGTTCGCCGCTTGCCGAGAGCGAGGGAGCCGTTGCCGCGCAGCAGCTCGACGCGCTGGTTGGCGGCGGCGCCGATGGCCAGGCGCAGGTAGGCGGCGCCGGCGTCTGCGCGCGGGCGCAGCACCAGCGCGGCGCCGCCGGCCTCGCCCGGCGCGGCGTCGGGGTTCCAGGCCTTGAGGGCGAAGCGCAGCCCGCGCAGGCGCCACTCGGGCAGCAGGAAGACGCGCCGCCCGCCGCCCGCGCCGCGCACCACCGCCGTGCACTCGTCTGCGCTCGCGTCGCGTCGCCGCTCGCCTCAACCCACTCGCAATGCAAACCCTCAATTCACAAAGAGCGTCTCGGAACAAATGTTGCGGACTTCTAGAGCAACTAAAGGCCCATTCACAATGCACCGCGCAACAAGCTCATTCACAATGCAAACATAAACATAAGCATGGCGTTAACATAAAAGTTCTACGTTCATAAGCGGACTCATCCACAATGCGTTCGCATAAGCATAACACGTAAGACGTTAACTTCAAAGCTTGCAAGCTTCAAGCTTCTGTGCTTATGCTTACGTAAGACATAAGAAAAGAACCAATCACAGAACGGTGACACAAAACGAGAATCGAAATTGGAGCGAAGTCGATAGAAGAACTAACGCCATACGGGACATAGACACAGTCGATATCTTGAAATCGATTCTCTCATCCAACCAGAAAGTCTTACGGCTAATTGAAACTTATTTCGCTTACGTTTATGATAGACTGAAGTATTCACAATGCCTATGTTCATGTTTATGTCCATGTTCTATGCTTATGTTTTTATTGTGAATGGGCCTTAAGAGGTCGAAGATGATCACTTCAGGCCAATGAGCACGCAGTGGAAAAATCTCAGAAAACGTAATTACATATATGTGGCTTTTACTTCCCCTAGCTCTGCCTGGTGCTCGTGATACCGACATAATTAGTGTTGAGAGCACTCTCATCAGCATCGTGCCACTGTTGAGAAATGTTTCTGGCGCATTGAATATTATTGAAGTATATAGTTTTTTTAAAAATTTATTTAAGTTCTTGCAGAATTATTTGCGAGTATTTTATGCGTTGTTCTTGAATAGGGAGCGTACTACTTTCAGAAAACAATTGTGTATGTGGTTTTGTTCATCAGCATTTTCGCTGCTGCAGGCCACTATGACAATACTAATTCTTAGCATTGTTGTCATAAAACATTAACTTTTTCCACATTTCAATTTCGATTATCGGATAATTGCGTAATATCAAATGCTTTAAGTATTTCTCCTACCAGGTCTATCGCAGTCGGGGACGTGGCATACATCGAACTTCACTTTCGGGTCCTCTGTGTAGCACCAAGTACCGCCAATGTTGCGAGATGGATTGCGACAGAAGTTGCTGGCGTTGATAACCGACTGGTCGGCGAACAAAGTGTCGTTTAGGTACTTTTCAGGAACCTGCGCAAGACGCAGACAAAGCCAGCCATCGGCACTTCGCTCACTTCATTTGTATTTATCGATTATGTACATCAAAATATCTATATGCCAAGCAAATGCAGCCTCCATCAGGTTCAATATGTCATTATATTGAAATAAGTGACAGAGAGGAAACCTTGTACAAAATAATGACGAATTTAATCCTGTAAAATGTACACGTTTGTAAATGTTTCTTTCAGAAACATATTATTACTAATTGCAAACGCAATACCGCTTGTTATATGAGCAAAGTTGGAATTTTTCTACGTCCTACTTTCATTGCAATTAAAATGTAAAACAAACAAGAGGTTTTAACGTTTTTAGGAGACAATATTTAAATTCGGTCGTTTTACTAAAAATAAAATATAGATATACTTAATTTGCAATTTCTGTACTTAACCCAATTTCGCCAAAAATTGACTTAAAAACTTGTATCCGAGACCACACAATTACCGTAATAATTATCTATCGGATAACGCCAAGTTCGTTTTGCTTGTACAAACTTGCATTTGCAAGCAAGCGCGCGGGGGCGCAAGTTAAGCGGAGCGCAGCGGGGGCTCTGGGTCTGCGCAGTGCGCACCTTGTGCGTGGCGTTGCGCGCCGCCCACGCCTGGCAGCGCCGCCCCGACCGCGTGAGGTTCAGCTCCCCCGAGTAGTCGTTGGCCGTGCCCGCGATGCGGCAGTCTGCGCACGTGACGAGTCCAAAGCATTCCAATTACACTAAATTAAAATGAAGCATCCAATTAGGTTTGGATTTTATATATCAATTTTAATTCAAGGTGCATTTTTCAGGTGAGAAATAATTGCCAGAGTGCTCCTCATAATACTAATTGCTACGAATAACGTTTTATTTTTGTTTTGATGTAACAAGCATATATCTTCTTAGAAAGTTTATTTGTAATTTTTCGGTTAAGTCGCAGCCCCAACTTTTTGCGCAATTAAAAGACTCTAAGCGCTGTTGTACAGTAGCGAGGTCGGTTAATTTGTAACCAGCGAGTAGACTACAATTTTGACGGCCAGCTGGCGTGCTAGCTCTGACAACCATAGTATGTTACGATTGCAGAGCGCGACAGAACGGCGTTCCGGAACCACAGGAATAACCATATTATATTATAATTATATTATATTATATT